AAATACGGTGTCGGTATTCCTGTTTTAATGTATTTTCGTGATCCTTGAACTTTTAGACATGCTAGTGCTCAATCAAGCCTCCTTTTGAAAAGTTTTTGGGAATGCGCATTTAAATCACTGTTACTCGTGACTAGTGGTATTGGATAGCTGATATTGATTTGCAGTACCCACACTTATTATCAATAATAAGTGTAAGTCGAATGGTAAACTGTCATGTTCAGCCAAATATCCACCCTGAACTAACCAAACATTAGATGAAGTCTGAACATGGTAATAATCTAGTTATACACCCGCTTGTGCGATGGGTCGCGTTATCCTGTTGCTCTTTCCAAAACACCTAAGGCGACAACTAGGTGTAGATGACTGTAGAACAAGCGTCATTCCATATTGCTAAGTAATTTTTCCTACACGACCAGGGTTGCTGGCTGGAGTACGATAACGCGAACAAATTACTAAAGGTCATTTGATCATTTCAACCAAGATGGGGAATTGAACGCAACACAAGCAGCTTTGTTATGGTCCGGTTCAATAGCACGCCTATCCTAGCGGGACCTTATGTGGTTCGCTACTCCTAGTCCCGGAGCTTAGGCTACCTGTTTCCATCCATGAGCAACAGGTCTTTGTGACTATGGGGTCTGCCCCGTCTGCTATTTACCACACAAATGTATATGTGATCATTCATTTTTCCCGATAGCCGTCCTAAAAGAACCTTTCTCCATTTTTTTCCTTCTCCAGCATGAATCTTGGACGGTGTAACACTCGAGGTGTGTTGACTACCATCCACTCCTTGCGTTTTAATCAACCGATACAAGCATTCACAACACGCAATTCATGGGAAAAGTTTAATATTCAACCAGAACAGGCTGGATCATCAACAAACTATCGGGACAGTGGATTGANNATTATCCCAATCCCGCGTGCAACATCCGTGGCCGAGGGTGGTGGTAGTGGTGTACCGTATCAAGAAACGTATTACCAGCCGAAACCGAACAATTTGCGTTACAATCCGCGCATGTACCAAGGTGGTCTGCTACCAAGGTTGGAGTTCACTGATGAGCCCGTTTACATGCCTGACTATCGACCCAGAGATTATTGGGCCCCTCATAGGGCGCATTTCGGACAAAATGATTATATCGGTAGGTGAATGCATTTCCCACTAACTAGTTAGGTGCTATTATGTTGTTTGTGGTTAATCTGTTTATGTGCACTCATTTCTGTTGTGGATATTTGTATTCTCAACGGGCATCACCACGGGCACGTGATTGCACTGATATACAATTATA